GAGCAGCCTGACCCGAGCCTGGCCACCTGCCTCCACAGTGCATGCACGTCCCCAGGATTCGGGCCCAGTTCCTGTCTGCCAGGCTGGCGAGCACCCGTGGTCATTCCCCCCTGGCCTCTTGTCCTATCTGCAAGTGAGGCAAACCACAGCACTGACCTTTGGGCCTGGTGCTGGGCATGGTGGGCCTGGTGGACGTGGGGCGCCGGCCTCGCTGGATGGGTGTTGTGCCTGAGAGCACATGCTGGGGAACTTGATCTGGCCGCAGTGTCCAGGCAGCGGCAGAGGGTGGTTGGCATGCGGGCCTGGGGGTGGGAGTGGGGGAAACCCTCCCCACTGTGAGCCCAAGGGCTGTGCACAGGATCCAGGGGCACCCAGGGTGACAGGTATACCCACAGCGGGAGTAGGGAGTTCCGGCCAGCTTGCTCTCCTGGAGCTTGTGGGAGTGGTGACAGATGCCCCTCTTGGCTGGTCAGTGTTGGGAGCTGTTCACCTACTGGAGGGAGGGAACCTGGAGCCATGAGGAAGGGTGGTCACGTGGGCTGTGTGGCACGAGTGACCTGGAGATGGCCGTGGGCTACAGACAGGCGGCCAGGCAGGGTTCAGGGCAGTGAGTGGGGCGGGGCGCACAGAGGGCCTGGACTTGGCCAGTACAGCAGCTTCTGACCCTGGAGGAATCTGCCCCCAGGGGACATCTGTGGTTGTCACACAGGGGGGCTCCTGGCATCGAGTGGGTGGGGGTAGGGGTGCTGCTTCACACCCCCCAGTGCCCAGGACGCCCCCACAGAGGATGGTCCAGCCCCAAATGCCACTAGAGTCAAGGCTGAGGAGCCACTTAAGGAACCTCTTGGTGGCGCCATTTAAAATGCTGTGAGCACACTGTGTGCTTGTGACCTGTCCTGCGGTCCCAGTGTGTAAGGTGACGCTCCCGTCCACAGACCCGTTTAGGCTGCAGCCATTCCCCTCGGACGTCAGATGGTCTGTCTTTTGGCCGGGTGGCTTGACTGGGGTGAGTAGCCATGTGCAGATATCCCTGGAGGGTTTCTGGAAGGCTGGGGCTGGCCAGCTTTCTGTTTGAGGATTGTGGGTGCTGGGGTGGGGGCAGGACTGGACCTGGAGGGAGGAGGCTCTCCCGGGAGCCTGCCAGCCAGGTGCTGAGTTCCTCCAGCTTCACTTTCTTTCCGTTTACTGCCCTGTGTCCTACTGCCCCTGGGGGTGGGCCCAGGAGCAGGAGCTGGGCTCTGGGAGTTTCAGGGGGGAGCAGTGTTTAGGCAGTTCCCCCCCCCAAGGGACGCAGGCAGGTCCTCAGAGGGCAAGTTTGGGACCCCGGGAAAAGGCCACCTCGGGTTATGTGACCCACCCCACCACCTGCCAGCTGCACTAACACATCTGTTGGGATTCCTCAAGCTCGGCGCTTGCGCAGTGTCATAAAAGACGAAACTAAATGCCCAGGCTGTGCCTGAGGCTCCCACAGGACCATCCCCAGGGCCACAAGTGCAGGGCAGCGCCTGCCCGGAGGACACCTGTTCACTGGGCTCAGAGAGTCTTTGTGGCAAGTCTGCCGTCCTGCTTGAGCCGCCTGGAAGGTGGCGCTTGGCTCTGTAGGGATCTCAGCCTCACGTCGGCGCTGCGGCGGGGAGGCTGCCCCGGCCACGTGGGCAGGAGCGCGCCAGGTTGTGTGCCAATAGAGGTTTTTTTTAATTGAAGTGCAGTCGGTTACAGTGTGCCCATTTCTGGGGCACAGCACACTGTCCCAGTCACGCATATACATGCGTGTATTTGTTTCCATGTTCACTTGCGTTAAAGGTTATTATAAGACACTGAATGTAATTCCCTGTGCTGTACAGAAGAGTTGTTATTTTTAAATCTGTTTTTATATATAGTGGCTAACATTTGCAAATCTCAGGCTCCCAAATTTATCCCTTCCCACCCCGTCCCCCGTAACCATCCGATCGTTTACTGTCTGCGAGTCTGTTTCTGTTTTGTAGATGAGTTCATAGTGTCCTCTTTTTTTTCTTTTGGATTCCGCATGTGAGTAGTAGATAATATGTTTCTTTCTCTTTCTGACTTACTTCACTTGGGAGGATGATCTCCAGTTCCATGTCGCTGCAGACGGCACGGTTTTCATGTTTATGGCTGTTTATGGCTTCTTCACCCTGTCATCTGTCGCCGGACATTTAGGCTGTTTCCGTGTCTTAGCTGTTGTGTGTTGTGCTGCTGTGAGCAGCGGGGTGCTCAGTAAAGCTTTATTTACACACTGAGATGGGAGTTTCAGGTGACTGACTGTGTCACAAAGTATCTTTCTTTTTTTGCACTCAGCCGCTTAAAAGTGTGAGAACCATTCTGGCCTTGCAGGCTGCACAGAAGCAGGCGGTGGGCTGGGGTTAGACCTGGGTGTGGGTGGTGCCTAAGTTAGACAAGCAGATGTGTGCGCGCGCCCGAGGCCCAGTGGGAAGGACGCAGTCCGGGCACACCTCGTGCCGCTGGGCCCCCTGGGCCTGCGGTCTTTGCGCTTGCAGGTTGGTGGTGGCCCTGCCTCAAGGATGTCCTTTGTTACAATACTGGCTTTATTGCGGGGGTCCGGACAGGAACCCACTGGGTCCCCGAGGCCTGCGTGCACTTCAACACGACCCTAAGAGTCCTCCAGATGGCCAGGAATGCGGGGCCTTGCCCCAGGCAGAGTCTAGCGAGGTGCCCATGAGCTTGGTCCCAGACAGGAGCATGCAACGTGTTTCTCATTACTCGCCTTGCTTCCTAGGCCACGTATGGACGTCTAGACAGGTGGTGGGGGCATGCAGGGCCCCCACTAACATCTCACATCGGTGGTTCTCACAGCTCACCAGCACGTGTCGCCGCATCACCCTTAGCTTCGTTCTGATCCCCTCAGGTGCCCGTGACATACAGGCTCCCGCCTCCCGGGCCCCTCCGGGCTGGGACAGTTTCCCCACGTGCTGGTTCAGACAGGAGTGTTGGGATGCGCGCCCCCACTGGGGTTCATCAGGTGTTCTCTCATGGCCTGGCCAGGGCAGGGCAGGTGCGGCATCTTGGAATATTTGTGAAATCACAGTTGGTGCTGGGGTCCACGGTGGGCGGGTGGCGGGTACACGCAGGTCACCTGCTGGCTCTCCCAGGGCCCGGGCTCTGAGGCCTCCCTTATCTCTCCCTCGCTTCTGAGGGTGTGGGGCATCCACGCTGGAGGCCTTGCCTGAGACCCCTCCCAGGTGCTAGGCCCTCCCTTGTGCCTAGGAAAGTTCTGGCAGGTGAGGTGGTGGGAGAGAGGGCAGACACACATGTGACCCCAACTGTCTTTGGATGGTGGAGCTGGCTGCTTTTGGTGACCGTGGGTTTATTCCAGAGTGTGGGTGTGTGTGTAGGGGGTGGACAGGGTGCAGGAGGGAGAGGCTTGTCCCTCCCCACCGTGCTTCCCCCAGCAGACTGGTCTACCCTGAACCCTGATGGGTCAGGAGAGGGCAGTGTGCTGTCCTGTGCCTCAGTTTCCCTATCTGTGAAATGGGCCAAGACACGAACCCCCTCTCCACCTGTGGGATGAAATGACCCGGAGCTGCTGGATGGAAGTGGGATACCCAGTCCCAGGCCCAAGGGGGTGGGAGTCTCAGACCAGCTGCTAAATCCCACCTCTTCCCGGATGTGTCCTGACCTGCCCAGTACAGTTTTGACCCTGAGAAGCCCCACATCCAGGAATCCCCTTGGTCCCAGGCAGACCCCAAGTGATGAGGGGCTTTGGCAGCGCCTCTGAGGCCCTCAGCTCAGGGCCTTTCCCGTGAAAGCAGAGAGTGACTCTCCCGCATCTGAGCTGACCTCCAGCCCGCACTGCTGTCCTGTAGCTTCCCAGGAAGTGGTGCCACCTTCCAAGCCACTGTCATCCTGTCTGCCTTCTCTGCCAGCTTTCTTGAGGTGTAATTCCCATCTCGTTTAGTTCCTCCGATTAAACTCTGCAGTTCAGTGGTTTTCAATATATTCAGAGCTGTGCAACCATCACTGCTAATTCTAGAACATTTTCATCACCCCAAAAAATCCCCGCCTCAGGGAGGGGCAAGATAGGCGTAGGAGATTAAGGGGTACAAACTATTGTGTATAAAGTAAGTAAGCTACGAGGATGTGCTGTACAGCTCAGGAAGGGCCCGTGTCTTACAGTGACTGTAAACGGAGTATAACCTTTAAACACTGGATCACTGTGCTGTACGTCTGAAACTTACATAATGTTACTGTACACCAACTATATCTCAAAACAAGGGAAACAGAATCACACTTAAAAAAAAAGAAAGAAACCCCATCCCCATTAAGGGTCACCTCCCTTCCTCCTCCCCAGCCCCTGACAGCCAGGACCCCCTCCCTGTGTCTGGGGACTGGCCTGTTCTGAATGTCTCACATCCGTGGACTCACACTGAGTGTCCTGTGTCTGCTTCTCTCACTGAGCACCGTGCTCTCAGGGCCCGTCCACGTGGGAGCGCGTGTTAGTGTCCTGTTCATGCAGCTGAGTGATGTCCTGTGTGCGGAGGGGCCGTGCTCTGTTTGTCCATCATCCGTTGATGGGCACTTAGGTTGTTTCCACTTCGGGGCTGTTAAGAGTGATGCAGCTGTGGACGCGTGCGCACAGGTTTCGTGTAGACGCGTGTTATGTTTCCTGGGTAGATGCCCAGGAGTGGTTGCTCTGTTTAGCATCCGGGGAAGCGCCAGCCTGTCTTCAGTGGTGCCTGCACCGTTTTAATCCCTTGCATGGAGGTTCCCATTTCTCTGTGTCCTCACTGACCGACATCTTGACTGTAGCTGTCTTGTGGGGCGAGGTGGTGTCTCACTGTCCTGTGGGTCCTGGCTATCTGTATACACACGCTTGGCCCTGTGCCCCTTGATGTGGGGCGGGGAGGCGGACAGGGATCTGAGCTGTGTGCCCAGCAGGTGGGGCAAGTGGTGGGGCCAGCCGGGCAGGCTGGGGTGGCCCTGGCATTGGCAGGGCCAGGCTGGTGGGGGAGTGTCAGGGTGAGGGGGGCTGTGTCTGCTGTCGTGGGAGGGGCCTTCACCCTGCCTGCTGTCCCCTCAGGTGAGCGGCATCAAGACGCTGTATGAGTCAGAGCTGGCCGATGCCCGCCGGGTGCTGGACGAGACAGCCCGGGACCGCGCCCGGCTGCAGATCGAAATCGGGAAGCTAAGAGCAGACCTGGAAGAGGC